AAATTTCAAAAATTCCCCCCCCCCCCCCCCCCCCCCGACGAAATCAGCGTAAATGCAAAATTCAACGGTATATCTTGCATCCTATTACTAACTTAAAACTTTACATTAAAATAACAAACAAATATATTATTTCAACGGTATAATATGCAACCTAATGCCCAATGATTAACCTAAAAGACAATTACAAAATATCTCAATTATCTCACAATTAGAGTTTTCAATATAGTTACTACGTACGCCTATGTAATTATTGATCATAAAATAACCAATCATATAAGCCGACTTTGCCACCATTATATAAGCCGACAAGGTTTCAAACATTTCCAACATATTCAATAACAACTAAGGCAAGTCATTGTTGAATTGAGAAGTAAAATTTCAATGAAAATTACGGAATCACACCCTTGAAAATTCTACCATCTCAATTTATAAGCCTGAAATAAAAATTTAATCATTACACAATGCCCTATTGCCTTATGCCAGTCAGAGACGCTAAATAGTAAATAGATACCAAACGTGATGCAGGTTCAAGTAGGAAACATTCTTGGATCAAGATATGTTGAACAAATTCCCATTTTCCATTTTGCACATCCAATAACATTTTCGATTATTTATGCAAAAATTTGAGCATTACAAATTTACAGAAACAATACAAAATTAAAATGACATATAGACTCTAGAGCTGTCCCAAAAAAATTGTGACATTGTCTTGATGAAATTAAAATGGTTCGTCGGTCGCATTATCATAGGCATGAGGAAAAAGAATGAAAAACCAATTTTGCCTTGAACTCTTTAAACCCTTAAAAAAAGGGGGAAAAGGGGCTAAAATTAGGCCCTCTTTGGTTTTGGGCCTGAGGCATAGGCCTCAAATGCCTCGGCCCAGGACTGGCTATGCTTGCAGTTTGGACCCCAACAGTCAGTATTTTTAACCAAAACTATTCCATAGTATCTATTTTTCTCTCTTTTTTATACAATTCCTAGATTATGGATGTGAACTATTGATAATTGTGGTTGTCCAAACTGCGGATGATTTTGATTGTTCTAATAACACGTTTACACCTTGAGATGAGAATATGATGGGACTATTGCAATATTTTCGACTTGAAGGTCTGTCATACACGCTATCGATGCTGGTATCGAAGCTCGGTTTTATAGTTTTCATATTCTATTCACTAATAAGTATGAGAAGAGAGGTAACGAAAAGCGTAATAAATAGTATGATATTTATTTCATAATCATATGACTATTTTCTATTAATTGCATCATGAATAAAAAAAGTATAGTTCCAAGTATGTAATATTTGTGTATTTCCAACTCTCTTATTTCATAAAACAATGCAGAAAAGAATTATTCCAATTGGTGCCTCAAAGGGCTTCATTTATTTGAAATAAAGAGTACAAGTTGCAACATGGCTTTCAGAGCCTCACACTAAATTAAAAGGGAATAAAAGGACCAACTGCATGCATGCATGCATCATCAAGTATTCAACATGACACTTCAGAAAAAATTAATTACTTCACCCTTTAATGTTTTTTAGCCTTTTCACAGAGCCATACCCTTCATCATTTTCTTGAGCTTGTCTCTTCAATGAAATTATAGTCTTCTTATCAAGAAAATTCATCCACCATTTTGCTGAGTTTTTCGGAAATCTTGTATAAAGGCCATTTTTGTAGTCTAAATAGAAAATGCCGAATCTAACACTGTATCCAGCACCCCATTCAAAGTTGTCAAACATTGACCATATGAAGTAACCCCTCACATTTGCACCTTGACTGAACAGAGAAGACAAATAATTAATGATAACACCACATATTTCAATTAGTTAATTAACAAATTAGACAGTTCATATCAGAATTTCCAATTTCCAATTTTGGATTAAATAAACACTATACAAATGAGGACTTACTCCATTGCTTTTTTAAGATAGACGAGATGGTCATGGTGATACTTAATCCTCGTCTCATCTTTGCAAGCGTCTGCAACTGTTAGGGTATTATCATTCTTTTCATCCACCCCTACATGAGATGATGGAGTTATTTTTTCAATAAATCAATACTAGGATGTTAAAAATAAATATTTGCAAACAATACAAAATGGTTCTTTCTATATAAGTGAGATAATAAACACAAATATATTTACCGTTCTCTGTGATGTAAATGACGGGATTATTATATGTGTTCTTCATATAAAGCATAAGCTTATAAATTCCAGATGGAACAATGGAGAGCCAGTCCGACCCAGCCTGATGGAAAGGAAGAAGATCATAAATTAGTACATATTTCTATTTAATGCATATACCATCAAGAGAATTCCTGTAAGCAATATACTTCTGTAATTTACTTTCTGATTTTTATTGAAGTAAATTTATTCATGTCCTTTTAATGTCCAATTATTTATATGAGAAATGAATAGTTACCAATATAGAATTTGTGTTAGAAACATCCCACTAATGTTATGATTGCTGGTATGTAAACTGCAAGTTCCATTGGTCTCCTAATCTCAAAGTAATTATAGAACTACTAGAATAGATATATAATTGATTGAAGTGTATTCCAAGAGTTAATAAAGCTTACCTTTGGACCAATCAGCTTCCCTTCACGTTCAGCTAGAAAAGATTCAGATAGTGAGCATCATATATATGTTAAAAGAGTCTAATGTTGTGAGAAGAAGAGAAGCTGAAAAAAAAAGCTGGAGGAAGAGAAGAGTAGCAGCGCCTAGGCGCTGCCCAGTTTCTGCCGAAGCAGAAACTGGGCGCCTAGGCGCCATGTCCAGGCGCCTAGGCGCCCCGTTTCTGCTTCAAGACAGAAACATGGCGCCTAGGCGCCACTCTTGTGGCGCCTAGGCGCCTCGGTAGGCTATATATTGCCATTTTCTCCCCCCTTTCACATGTAACATACACAACACAAGACCTAGAGAGAAAAGAGAGAAAACTTTGGAGAGAATTTTTACAAGATAGATGGTTGTTCATCTTGAGTATAAATTCAAAGGTATTTTCTTTTTTGGGGATTAACTTGAGGCTTGTTCAAGTAATCCTAACACATTGATTATCATATATTCCATTGGATTCATTTCTTCCTCATTTTCTTGTTCTTCAAGTATTTTGGAAATTTTCACTTTGCCAACTTAGTTTGTTTCTTGGGCATTTATTGGGAGGTGTTTTCCCAACAATTTGGTATCAGAGCTCCTTCCAAAATCAAGGTGGTTAAGCTTCGATTTTGTGGTGAGTTGCATGAACTTTGTTGTGCACAAGGTGTTTGTGAAAATTCCCAAGTGAACTTTTGTGATTTATTTTCGGTAAACAAGTGAGTAAATCATGTCTACTAGAGGAATGGTGAAGATTGGGAAGTATGAGATAGAAAAATTCAATGGGAAGAATGATTTTTCATATTGGAGAATGCAAATGAAAAATTTGTTGATTTCTCAAAAGTTGCACAAGGCATTGGTGGGAAAGGAGAAGAAGCACGTTGATATGTCGGACGAGGATTGGGAAGAGTTAGATCTTGAGGCACGAGCGTCTATCATTCTTTGCCTTGAAAGAGATGTTGCTTTCTTGGTTGATAGTGAGGTAACGGCGGCGGAGGTGTGGACAAAGTTGGAGGCGAACTTCATGACGAAGACTCTAACAAATCGGATCTACTTGAAGTCCAAATTGTATACTTGCAAGATGGATGAAGGTACACCAATCCGGGAGTACGTAAACAAGTTTGATAGGATCATATCGGACTTGAAGGACATTGATGTGGATGTAGATGATGAGGATCAAGCACTCCTACTACTTCTTTCATTGCCAAAGTCTTACGAAAACCTAGTACAAACATTGATGCTTGTGGGTGATAAACTTGTGATGGAGGACACTAGAACGTCACTTCTA